CGCGAATGATCCGCAGATATGCAGGGCTCTAAATACGAATGAAAAAACCCCAGTCTACAGCAGAGGCATTGCTCTCCCTGTCGTTCCTCACCGCACCGGCAAGGATCTCTCCTCACATACGTCTCCTACATTAATTCCACTGGAAGCAAAGAGCCCATTGCAAACATTGCACACCACACTGGCTGAAGGAAACTCTCCTCCAACATGCCTTTCCACAACGCGGCAGCTACCGCTGCCAACCGCAGCACACTTCGTGTGGTCGTTTGCAATTTTTATTCATCGTATCCGCCGTGTGCAATTATACGGAGCTAATGTTAATGTCGACGTCAATAATGATAACGCTACTTTTCCGATAGTAGGCATTTAGGAACCAAACGATAGACATTACACTTTCTGTGATCTGCGCTTTAGCTTCCACCTAAGAAAAGCTGCTTCTTCGCGCCATTTGTTCCACAGTCCACTCCTTTATCCGAGTGTCGCGCCCATGCAGAATCAATAGAAATGAACGTCCATTAGATTTTAATCGGATAGACGCAGATTTATAGCGCTATATTTTGCTATATACAACCAAATGCCTAATGCGACTGCCAGCATTGCGCATATACAACTGCGCTGAGAGGTTTCCTTTGCAATTGGAAACCATGATTGAGACGTCCTATTAGCTCTGTATACGACAAAAAAGGCGGACTTCGGAGTTTTTACCGTACCATAAGCATCTATAATGTATCTGCATGCTGTCTCAAAGTCAGCATGGTTACTAGACTGTAGAGGTGGCCGAATATGAAGGTGCACGTTCAATCTCTCCCGTGCACGAGTGGACAAATAGCCAGTGTCGATCTCAATACCACGAGGTTCGTTAAAAGCCTATAGTCTCGACTATTTAGTCTTCACTAAACTGCAACATGTTAGACAGGGTACCCGACTGGCGGGTCTCGTCTGATATGGTCACACGTAGTATTTTATTGCACCCAGAGACTTCCCCCGATGTCGCCCACGCGACACTCGACGATGCACGTATACGATTTCGCCGAAGCTAGCGAGATTGACGAGCGAGCCAGAGTGGGCGGCGGCTCGCGATCGACGAGAAACACGATCGCTCCGCAATGTATACCTCGCGGATCGGATCGGTAAACTTGCTCGACTCGTTAGCTGAGATGCGTGCAGCACGTGGCTGCTTTAGGGCCGGCGAACGTCGAGGGCCACTAGGCCTCCCTGAGACTTCGTTTCACCTCGTACACTGGAGCGCCGAGGGAGCCATCGGAGCCAACTCAATGCCGCCTGAGAGTCGCATAACCTTCGGGAGGAACACGTGCTGCATCCGCAGCGTTAAATTGGCTGGTGGGATCGCTCGTAGAGGTCGCCGTGCTTCATCGTAAGGTGAAGCGTAGTATACAAAGGAGAAGAGGAAACAGGCGGAATAGAACATTGTGCACTCTCGAGGTATATTTATACAAAACTTACGTTTTGTACGACAGTGTCACGGGTCGCGAAATGACCAACCCACGACTGCTGCCCACACTATGCGAATACATGTTATGCCCCACCTGATTCTAACTCGTGCTGCTGCCAGCTGCGGATTCGTGAAGAGCCCAGAATTAGAACGACTCGAATCGATGTATTAACGGTTGGCGGAGTCAGCAACGTCGAGGCATATCCTATCCGAGATAATTCAGCCATGGATTTAACAGCGCCAGAGGAGCGCCAACTTGTGTCAACCTAATATTTCGTTTACACTCACGGCGATTTCACGCGACGCCATCGAACTTCTCGATCTCAGCTGATCGTGTACGTAAGGTATCGTGTAATATAAGATGCTGCTGGTGTGCGTGGGTATCGCGTTCTTCAGCATCTTTATACGTTTCCCGAGTTCTGATAATCGCTATACGGTGTCGCGCACTGTAAAGTCCTGGGTGGGCAAACTGCCTGCTGGCTTCGCATACTCTGAAACCGGACTCGTTTTCCTGCCGAGCAGCAGCCACAACCTTAAAGTGAGACGAAGTATTGGCGACTCCAGGCGAAATTGACGGCACCTGGCGGCTAGAGACAGAAAGCTGTGGCGGTAGGTTCGTTGCCTTCTCGAGCGAGTCAGATATACGAAGCGCCTGGCGGTCAAAAGAAGAAAGAAGCCTTGAAACTAAACTATAAGTGTATAGTGATGGTCCTTTTGGATATATGGTGTCCTCCTTTTTAGTCTTAGTGCAACTGTAGCAAGGTCGTACTGCCAAAACTATCACGACGTTCGTAGATAATATTAAACGACACGAGTCTCGTCCTCTTTCTGCTAGAAGTATTACGAATGTAGAGAGAAGAAAAACCTTTACATTTAAATAGAAAATGTCTTTTTATATGCGCTTAAAAGGCATCCAGAACTAACCCTTTAAAACAATCGGCGAATCAGCTTCCGATTTTGACTCTGTGCGCGTGCCCATGGGCGTGCGCTGGTTCACCGATTCTTTAAAGCAGCTCGTTCTGAAGGCCCTTGGAGTACCCATAAAACGGGGGATTTAGACGAACAGTGCAAAAAAGCACCTCTGCCGGCCTCGAGCGTGACCTCAATAGCGCGGCACGGACTTTCGTGTATCCGTTGTGTTTTATACGAACCACGACAGGGTTCCGTTGTGGTAACAACAGGCGGAGTTTCGATCAGGACGAGCATCGTACCGGCGTGCGGTCGTGTAATCACTAGTATACTAGTTGCTGTACATACTAGATTGTGAACATTACGAGCCCAAAGAACCTGCCATGCTTTTTTCTTTCTTTTTTTGCATATGGTAGTTTTCATATACCTTTTCTGCGCTTATCACCCTGGCGAAAATTCTTGAGTCACGGGGCTGTGTGCATGGCGCCTGATATTCCGCAGAAAACAGCTAATGCGCATGCTCAGAGCGTGTCCCACAACAGCCTAGTCGACGAAAATGGTGGCACACAAAAGACGATCATTCGAATGGTTCATAGACGCTCTGGTTCGGTTGGGTTCCAGTCCAGGCACCGTGAACCATTGTAGCCAGACCTCAAAGGCAGACTGACCTCTCGCTGTCTAAACATTAAACGTCATATTTGCGTATGCTCGGAGGCAGTGTACGGAACCTAAGCTCCAACACCGGGGGAAGGTTACAGAAGCACGAGCTACTTGGACGGAGCACGGATCGCTGTCCTCAAAGAGATCAGACCCAGGCTAAGGTAAAACTAAGCACAATTCCTAGCTCTCGTCGCCGCAGCGTGCATAATGTCCGAACGTTGAGATGAATACGGCGCTGTGGCCATCAATTCAAGTCGCCGTGGTTCAAGTATTTGACAAAAAAAAGAAGAAAAAAAAACTATATATATATATATATATATAAACCGGGTGTATGTCGATTTTTTATTTTATAAAGTTGACCTTGGGGGTGCTCGTGCTCTGGGTTCAATCCCCATCCCTGCCCATTTTGATCTGGATGAGCATCGTACCGGCGTGGCGGTCGTGTATCACACACAACTGCGTGGTGCACTTCAAAGACTCCAGGCTAGCAGTCGCGCTGCATGCACTGGCAAACTTCCTCCTCTACAGCGAGAGAGACGTCAGAGAGCCCATTGAGGCTGACTAGCTTCCCGCTGCCTCAAGTTCGTACACGCAATTACGACTTTACCACGAAACGCGTTAAATTTCTTTGAATAACGATCTCGCCGACTACGAGATTTGGACTCGTTATATTCATCTGGCGGAGCGCCAGTTACCCAAGTATTGTTGTACTGGTTTTCCAGAAGAAAAAGAAAATAAAACCCCGCTTGTTTGCCGCGGCGGCCTTCACTGAGCGTTTGTAGAGAGCCGAAAGACAACAGGAAAGTCCCCACCAAGATGCCATAGTTCAGGACGTCGTCCAGCCATGGAAAAGAAGAGCTCCTCCCCGCGTAGCCGCGGAAAAGCAGATCAGTCGCGTGAACCTGTTCGGGGTCTCCAGAGTGAGGCCGGAGATCCAGTTAGTCGCGTGCCCTCCCCCGACCGTGTCACGCTCACCCTCGGTCCAGTGCACTTGCGTGAGACGTCGCAGTGTACGTAATGCTCGCTCTTTACGAGTGCCTACACACTTCCTCCTCATGCCAGGGGGCGCCTCGTCGGACGGCTTAAACCTTTTGGCCGGCCCACATAAAAGATGTCAACACGGTGATGAAATCCAAACGCGCGGCGGGTCCGGTCAATACGTCGCCTGACCTGTTGCGACAGTCGCGCGCGTTCTTACAAACTCGTATTGACACTCGCAAGCAGGCGAGCGCGCAAATGGGCGGCTTCGAGCGCCCTGCCGTCATCATTAGTAGCCCGCAATTATCTAACGCGCTGAAAATGAGCGAAATGCCCGTCGCGTGACAGACACGAGGTGTCCTCAATAAGCGTCCAAATGTGCGATTCCATAGTTAAGGGAGTTTTAATAGAGCGTTCCGATAACGATACCCAATATTTCAGGGACATCTTTGTGCACGCATCGTTTTGTCATCGGGTATCGTTATCGCAGGTATCGGAACGATCTACTAAAATGTTATGTAATGGAATGCGTAGCGTTGATACTCTCTATAATCCAATTTTAACTTCAGCCCAAATGCGTTTTTTTTTTTTCGCTGTCGTACACGGAAGCCACGGCTCAAACGTTTATAGAGGAAAGCGTACGAAAAAGAAGATACTAGAATATTTTTTTTTTGCAAACGTAAATAAAATTATGTGTTCTTTTTTTTTTTCTCTCTGGCAATTTTTGAGTCGCTAAACACCAACAGGTACCGTCTTCGGTGCGAACAAGGCTCATTAACATACTAATGAGCTCTGTTCACAAGAATGCCGGCCATCCTGTTTTCCACCCCTATTCCCAACATTGCGGACATAAGAAGCACGAGAACAAATCCTTCGAATCGAGCAATCGAAACCTTGGGGTATCAAAGTTCTTCGGAGTGTGGGACGGGATTGGGAGCAAAGCAGCCCCGACCGAAAACAGGAGTGAAGCGCGCGTCCCACATCGCCCGAGTGGTCGTCTCACCTCTGAATGCTCGAGGGCGACGTGGAGGATGCCCACCGCCGGGAGACCAGTTGCCCGGACTGCTGTGCTCCCTTCTCGCCCACGCAACTCGGGATCCGGAGTGAGAAGAGCGAACGAAGCCCGAGCGCGAGTATCGGCGACCGGTGACTCGAAGAGCGCGTGCCCCTACGCTTGACGCTGCTCGCTTCTCGCCGCCGATCCGCGTGTGCTACGGGCTGCAACAGGGCGCGCAGCACAACGCAGGGGCGAGCGCTGACGTCACCGGCGACGTCACAGAAGGGCGGTGTCTGAGGGAGAGCGAAGGAGATACAGAAAGAAAGAGAGAGAGAAAGAGGAGGAGAGAGAGAGACAAAGGCAGAAACGGGAACGCGTGGAAGAAACTGGTTTCTCGTGAATGGAGAATCGTGTGCGCGTGAACTCGGTTGTTGATGGTTCGGGGTGGGGGGAGCGTTTGTCCGCGATCAGCCCCGCGCGCTCTTTTTATTCTTATTATTATTATTTTATTTTCATTTTGTTTTGTCTCGGCGTGCGTCTGCGTGTTTCTTTTTAGTAATGGGACGGCGGAAGGGGGAGGTGAGCAGTCGATGACCGAGCGATGTGTTGGACATGATCGCGGTTGTCGGGTTCCCTTCGTTGCCTGGGGCGTCTGCACAGCGCCAGTCACGCGAGCCCATGTCCCTCAAAGGCTCCCATCTCACGCATCGTCCCCTGCGTGTTGCTCGATACATTACATAAACGAGCATACTTCGGCGGACGGGCCCAACAAGTTCGCTTGAGGCAAGCGCGAAGCTGCGACTGACGGGTCTACCCCCTGCTTATATTCTCCGTCTCCTTTCTCTCTCTGTTTCTTTTTTTTTTTTTTTTTTTCTCTCTGCAGGATATAATCGAAGCGACTTGACACATCTACCAATGGCCCTGCCTTGTCCACGAGCCTGTCAATGCAGACGCCTATTGTATTTTTTTTTTTTTTTTTTTCTGTCGCGCCGCCGCGTAACCCGGCACAAAAGTACCGGTCGAAGAAGAAAGGACTTCGACCGGCGCCGGGCTTCTATTTCGGGCGGTGCCTTTTATTCCCGAAACTCGGACGTATCGGTGCTTCTCGGAAAGTCCAGACTGCGAAGGATCGTTGAGAGGAGCGGAGGCTCCCACGTGGGGCGTGCGCTGCGGCGCGACAGATTCCGAGGTCCTCGGCGGGGAAAGGCGCGGAGAGCTAGGGAGAAAAAAAAAAGGCAGGCGCGAGACAAAAGAAACTCTTCGGTGTCGACCGTTTTTAGCCGCACGCGCCCGCGAGAGAGAGCGCGTGCGTAATTCCCTCTTATTCCCTCTGTCCATGCATAATTTGCGCTGATGGGGATTTCGGTTTATCGATTGCTGCTGCGTGTTTCTCCTAAAAGCATAATCAGTTTGGCCTTATTTGTGTTTTTCTTTTCTTTCGATGCCGTTATGAATGTGTGTGTCAGGGCTGTTAGGCCCCCGGCTTAGAGGGAACTTCGTTTTCGGCACGCCCATCGCGTTCTCTTCTTTTCAATGACTACCTGCAAACTAGCAAAAAAGAGAAGTGTTCTCTAGTTAGCGCGTCCTTGCGACTCGAACCGCTAATTTAGGCAACTTCCGCACGTCGTAGATAGAATTGGTTTCGGCTGCGTGGCTTTGTCGTCGTTAACCGCTTGACGTTTGTTCTTATTATTATTATGATTTCTTCTTATTATTATTATAAAATCTCTCCCCCCCCCCCCCCCCACACACACACACACACAAGCACACAAAAATTTTTTAGCGGTTTTTGTTGTCTTCTATCAGGGGCGTCAGAAGGCTTCGGGCGCTGTTGTGGGAGGGGAGTAGATTTCCTTTCCTCCGAATGGATCGCTGAAAATGTCTGAAATGTATGCGCTTCTGGTCAAGAGACCCAACGAGTTAAAAGAACCATCGAGTCAAAAGGCTCAATAATGGATCTCTTGACGCGTTGGACCTTCTGACTCGCCAGTCACGAGTGAAGAGGTCCAATGTGTGTCAAGAGGTCCAACGCGCGAAGAGATCCAACGAGTCAGGAGGTCCAATAATGGATCGCTTGACGCGCTGGGTCTCTTGACTTGGCAGACGCGACTCAAGAGATCCAATGACTCGAGAACTGCCGCGTCATATTGCAAGGGGTCATTTTACAGACACGTTCGTCGCCGTTGGGTCTTCGTTGTTCAACCAACGACGAGATCTCCCGCTTGGAATTTTTCCATTATCCAAGAGAGATCAGAAAGAGAGAGAAAGAGACAGCGCGGTACTTGTCAGCCACCCAGGGGGCGACATATCTCTGACCCTCAAATGAGCACTTTAGCCGGGGCCGTATACGACTGCTGTGCTTTGTTTCACCTTAAGAATAGGGAGTTTTCGTAGACCATTTTCGCGCCTCCACTACGCTCCCCGGAACAAGGACGCCACTAGTGCGCATGCCCGGCGCTATCCTTGCCTGCAGAGTCCCGGATCTTGTAGCGGGTTGCGGAGAACGTTGCGGGACAACGGAAACGATCTCTACGAGCCAGCGCTACCGATCCTGAGCATACAGTGCGTCACGTGATTTCTGGTTCAGCGCGGCGACGCCCGGAGCACGGTGTAGGAAGGCTTCCTACACCGTGGCCCGGAGCGAGATGTCCGGTGACGCTCTCGAGGGATGGGCTCCCAGCATCGGCTGCGGTCCATCCTATAGGTGAAGCGGAGTATAGCCTGGGGGCTTTACGCGCACCACGCAGTAGTGATTACACGAACGCGCGCCGATGCTAGTCCTCCGTACAGCGTGGTGCCAGTTAGCAGTCATGCTGCACTGGCCATATCGGCAATATTCTATGGAAAGACATATGTTTACCCTCTGGATGACTGACAAACATTACGCTGTCCAAATTATCCACACACCCCAAAATTTCCTGCTAGTTGAGCTCATGCTGCATACACGTGTTCGTTGGTTTCTAAATTCAAGAAGCAACCTGCGCTGCGTCCCCGCGTGACCGTACAGCGCGCAAAATTCTCGGGAAATTTCTCCTGTAGACAGCATACCCCACGAAGAGATGGCGTTGGTCACCAGCCAATAGAAATTGAAAACGCACAACGCCGTGACGCAGACAGCCATTCGGGATCCCAAAACCTGTCCTCCCCAAGGCCACTGTATCCTCTTCTCCACTCTCCCTCTTTTTGTTGCTTTGTTTTTATTTGCGGAATCCCACCCCCTTGCACTGCAGTGACCATCACGCTCCTCCTCGCCACCACCTAAAAGTCGACATTCATCGTTGTTTCGGTTTTCTTTGTTCCTTTTCCTTCTTTTGTTTCCTACCTTCTTGGGAAGCCCCCCCCCCCCCCCCCCCCCCTTTTCCCGGTGATCGGACAGGCAGTCAAGAGGTCCATCGCGTCACAATGTCCAATAATGGATATCTTTACGCGTTGGACCTCACATGTGTTTATTTCCACCTTTTAAAAATACAGTTGGAGGGGCTGTGGAAAAAAAGCTGCGCTTAGCAGCTTGACGAGCCCACAGTACCTGAATTAATGGCAACTAAGCAGCACTACGGTGGGAAGAATTAACATGCATAAAAAGGATAACGACAACGAAAACGAATAGTGTTCGACTCGTCGAACACGATTCAAGAAATCCAATGTGGGTTAAGAGGTCAAACGCGTCAAGAGATCCAACGTGTCAAAAGATCCACGGCGAGCCAACAGGTCCATGGCGTCAAGAGGTCCAGTAATGGATCTTTTGACTCGTTGGACCTCTTGACTCGGAATCCTCCCCTCCCCCCTCCCCTATTTTGATGCCACTGTCTTCCACACACACTCAAAAGAAATGATCGACCGGTAGGGAGAACGAAAGCTGCAACCACGACTTCCTCAGCTGCAGGGCGCAATGTGACTGATGGTGATGATGCCAGTTTTAACGTCTCACTTGTCTTTCTCTTTATAGATCCTTAATAATGATAAGGAAAGCTGTATGCACAAACTTAGCCACGATATTTTCGACGATGGTCGAGTCACTTACCAATCTTGTGTAATCACAACAACGAGATAATAATCGAGAATGAACGACGTTATGTACCGCCGAACAACCTTGACGAGTGCGTGTGCAAAAAGGCCGCATCAACTGGCGAGCTCGAAACTATGGCCACCCAATGTCTCCCAATTACTTCCCCCCTGGAGGGTTGCACAAATGGACTGAGACATTCAAAACACCCAAAGGAACGCTCGATGGCGTTTCTTCTGCAAATACAGACACGCGCAAGGTTTGGAGTAGTACAAGCAATGCCAGCTGAGCAAACCAGCCCGGGCGATTTTTCGTGTGTCTGGCGGCACTGGCACGAGCCCTCCGCGAGACGCTTGCTCCCTCCTCCGGCTTGCGTCCTTGGCCGTAAGCATCGTTTGTCAAATTTACGAGGTAGCCTGCCGTCGGATGGGCCTTTCGTAATACCGGGAAGCTTCGCGGACAAACGGCGTCAATAGCCCCTTCGCAGTTGAGCAAAAGACCTGTTGGGAAGCCGAGCTTACGTGCGTTAAAAAATTGTCCCAAAGATCAGTGGGGTTGTAGCATTTGCCGATGAGATAATTACCCCCCCCCCCCCCCACACACACACACAGATCAGTGGAATTGTAGCATTTGCCGATAAGATAATTATCTTATCGGCAAATGCTACAACCCCACTGATATGTGTGCCGATAAGATAAAAATCGCGAAGCAAAAAGTTCAGTTTTGGGGGTTTTCTTAAAAAGAAAATAATTGCGAGGGCTCCAATTTTTATTATGATTCTGCGACTTTATCCTGCTCAACAACTGTCCGCGTACCTCCATATTCCACTTATTGTGGACACCCATGGGTGGTTTTGTAGACTGTGGTCACTGACGGTTTAAGCAAAAAAAAAACAGGGTTCTACAGCCAGTGAGACGGCGTCTCATTAGCCGATAAGAACAACGAACCATGAAGCAAGAAACGTTTTACCTTGCCATGATGCCGCGAGTTGTGATCCGGGCTGCCTTGCAGGCGACGAGTTAGCTGTTGCCTGCAAAAATCACGGTGGAAGCTTGGATTCATCGCATTCTTAAACCAACACCGTCAAAGTTGGGAGTCTTACATTACACTCATTTGCGCCAATGAAAGCAAAATTAATACAACGAAAGACGTCACAGTGAGCGTTCAACAGGTCGATGGTTGGCCGACCACAGCGACCCTTTTGGTCACAGCCACGCCCCTAGCGGTTCATTTCAG